ATTAACTTAAAATTCCCTCATTTCATGACTTCGTCCTAGGTAAAGCAAAGAGCAGAAAGAAACTGTCTCTGAAAACCTAAATGTGCAATTTCTTCCAGACGGGCATAGATACGCAGATTTAGTAGAATGTGTGCATGCATATGTTTGTGTGTGTTTGTGTGTTTATTGCTTCAGAATTGCCTGCAGTTACATCATCCCAAGAGATATATTCAGCCTTGTATGCTCAGGTGGAATATGATGTTTGGCCATAAAATGATAAGGATTCATGAGGCACTCAGACAGGAAGGTGAGGCAATTATAAAACAGATGCTAACACTACTTTTGAGCTAGAGTCCTCTGAGATAGGCTACTCTATAATAGGCTAGTCTGCATTCAAAAAATATTTTTCCTGGTTTTTTTTTGTTTAAAAAGAATTTTAAACAACCATGGAAATTAATTATTCTGATCTCACATTTAAGTACATTTTCAGTTGTATCCAGACTTTATTGACAAGAAAAAAAACATAATTGCTCCAATGACTAGGATAAATGAGACGTTGCTGAAGTAGTATAAAGACCATCTAAATTCTTGATTTGAAACCAGTAAATTAACTTGATATTAAAAAAAAATAAAAAACAGCAAGCATAGAGAAAAAGCTTTATCCAAAGTATTTGTGCATGCTCGGTCTGTTTTACATCCCATTTTTCTTTTGGCAGCAAACTTGGTGATTCAATTGAACAGTCATTTGTCAAAATAAGCAAGGGCAGAAAGGAAAGATCATGATCATCTTTTTATTATTGGCATTAAATATTTATCAACCCAATTCAGTAACAGACACATATATGTGTTTATGTGATAGAGACAAATGTGTGAGCGTGTCCATACAAGCACATGTGGCTATTCTGCACATGCAGAGTGGATTATAATGGAGCACATTGTAGTTGGGCTGGAGTCTGAGGGTGTTGAATATATTAAGAACTCAACAGCAAGAAGGTTGAAGATGTTGGAACCCTACCTGGGGCATTCAGAAGCTCCCAGTCTCATAAACACTCTCACCATCCCCTCTTGGGATAATCCCTGGTGATTTGAAAGCAAGGTCTGCAACCTGTGGCAGATAGATTTGTAAGATGCCCATCAGATTACATTTTTTATTTCCTGCTAAGTATCTACTGGCATGTTTAACTTGTAATTTGAGAAAGAAATATATATCCTTATATAGCACACTTGTTTTTCCCCACTGTAATATAAAACTGCACATGGGCTGAGACTGGACTCCAACTAGGAGTCCAAGTTTGATCACAGCAAGGGAATAAATACATTTAATACAATTTAAATACATTTAATACAAGGAAGTATGTCTAATACTAGATTTGCTCAGTTTTTGTTCCTTCTTTTTGTTCTATAGGCAGTTTCTGGAATGAAATTGGTTGGTTTATGTATCATGTTGGGTTGATCTTTTGAAAGCTGCCTAAGACTGAGCTCTAGGAAGTGTTAACTTCCGTCCATCATCAGCTCTGGTTATTAGTTTCATAGCATTGTCTGCACAGTCAGCATCTCCATTGCCTTTAAAACCACTGTGAATAAATATATTTCTTCACAATGAGAAGCCTGGAAAATACCCAGTAATTTCTAAAAGCAGTCTGATGTCTTCCTATCTGTTCACCAGGAAAAAGAAACCAACTTGAGAACTCTACAGTCACACATAAAATATTGCAATCACAGAGATCAGTAGTCAAAAATGTGTGGCTTGAAGTCAAGAATGTTAACCTGTGTATACTCCTTTACTTATGGCCTCCTAACTCAGTCTTGCAAAGATAAACGGTACCATTTATGAAACAAACAACATATTTAAGTACAGAATTGTGGCATTGCTTCCCAGGAGTAAGAATGGAAAGGCTGTCTTTTGGAGTGTTTCCACAAACCATTTTTTAATGCTTCTTTATTTCAAGGCAAACAGGGATGGATTCTGCAGTACTGACATTTCACATTCTTGTACCCCTTTGTTTTTTGGTTTACACGTAATCTCTAGTCTTCTGGGAATATGCATGTTTTTGCCTATCACTCCTCCCTGCTTACAAAGAGAGGCACCCATCAATACTTAGATTTATGACACCTTAATTTTTTTTTTCTCAGCATATTTTGAAAATTTTGACAGCACAAATTTGAAAGTGTCTACATTCTCATGTCTTCATCTGCTCATCTTCACTTTTTTAACTCTTTATCCCTATACACCAATAGATATTATCAGTAAATCCTCCTGGTTTAATCTCCAAAATGTCTCAGAAATCTTCCCTTTCCTCTTCATTTTCCCCATAAAATCTTTGTCAAGCCCATCCTTGTCCACACCCATGCCTACTGCGACCTTGCTGTCTTCAGCCTCTAACTGACACGCACATTAACCAGTTTTCAAAGTAGTCTAATGCAAAAGTAATCCACTTCTAGTACTGAGATCTCATTAAGTTATTCCTAAATCCCTCTTCTTCACTGTCTCCCTGTTGCTTTCTAAATCTGATCAAAGCTCCTTTTATCACCCAAAGTTCCTCTTGACCTAACCTTCCTTCTTCTGTCCTTGTTCTGTTCTTCCACATCTTTCTTCTTTATGTGCTCCCTCCTCACCTGTTGCTGGTCAAAATGTAAACTGCTTGCCAGTTAGACCTGTGCACTGACTTTGAAGTTGTCCACTATACCTGTGAATCAAGTAAGTAGTTCAGCAATCCTATTTCAGATGGGAAGTAACCTGATGTGGCTGGCACAGTTCCTAGGTAAGTTTGAACTGTTGACTACTAAAAAGCAAGTTATCTTGTGCTTTTCTAGCAAAAAGGAGAGGAGACATTTTTCTTCTTATGGTGAGATTATGATTTTTCTGAGTCATCCACAATTTTTCCTGTGTCCTTAGGCCTTCAACAGAAAAATAAATTGAATTTTTTTACTATAAATTTACTATCACTATGATTCATGAATTGCTCTCCAAACAGTCTATCCATACACCCCTTGCAGAAGCTGTCGTCTAGGTGAAATTGGAACATACCTCTCTGAGTTTTCATAACTATGTTTCCAGCTCTTAAGACCTGAATTTTAGGTTGTAATTTCTTGCTCTTTCCACTTGCTTGCTATCAAACATTTCTTAGCTTGATTTTGTGGAGTAAAAAGACACGGGGCAATAAGAAAATTTCTGCGTTATAGGCTTTTCAAATCCATCCCTCCCTAGTCCACTGAAATTCAGCAGTGGGATCTGTAAGTTAATTGAGACAAGCCACACTTACTGTACAGTACATCTCAGCACAAAGGACAAGACATGCAGATCAAAGCTCCCCTCAGTTCATTTGACTTTCTGCTCCTCTGTGCATTAGATTAAGGGAAAACTTAACATAACAAACTATCTCCTAGTCCCTTCCTCTCTTCCCCTTTAAGTCCTCCTCCCTCACAAAATCAAACAGGAGGAAAACAATCTTCCTACACCTGCACCCTTTGTTCAGTATTCTGCAGTTCATCAAAAATTAACATCCGGTTACTGGAGCTTCCTCTCTCTTTCCCAAGGTGCTACAGAAGTAGTTTGTGCCAAGGAGACACCTACGTGCTATTTCTACATGCCTCACACCACCCTGGCCTGGATAGAGTTTAACTCATTAAATTCCGGCCAGCAGCAGTCATGAACCTGGGAAATTATGGTGAGTAAATAGTTCCTAATAAGTTCAGGAAAAATGTTGCCATATTCACAGATAACTCCTAGGAGCAGGCTGATGCCTTCTTCTCATTTCCTACCAAAGTTACAACTTCAAAACTTTCTAGTCAGACATGAGATACTTTGTCAGTGCACAGGCTCACATCCATTTTAGTTTAGAGATACTCTCTGTACTTCCAGCAGCATGCCTGTTTGTGCATGTCCTGCTGCTTCCATCTATAAAGACAGGCATACATCAATGCTTCAGTTTTACAGTTCTTCAATATGTGAGTTGACATCTCCAGAAAGCTGGGAAATGATGATATGCACATCATCCATAACAAGATTAGAGAAAATATTGCCACATTCATGCGTAGTATAAGTACGTGCTGAAGTCTTGCTGATTAGAGTGCTGTAATGAGGACAGAACTGCTTTCATGTTTAACACAAAAGCATGCAAAATGCTGTACCAAATTAGCTATAACAAATATGTCCTATCTCGCAACACCCTGTTTCAGTCCCACAAACTCATGGAAGCTTCAGTTTGGCTCCTGAGATTCCCAGCCATACAATTGCCTTCCTGCCTCTTTCCTCCCAACCTATGCGTCTTTGTTTTCCTCACAAAGCAGAGTTCAGTGGATTTCCTGTACCTCCTCACAGGCCATTACCCTTAAAGAAACATTGCTTGGCTGCAGTAAGGATCTCTCTCAAAACTGAAGCAAGCCATAGGAAGAACGACTGCAGTCAGCCAAGATTGTCTACAAAAAAATAAGTCTTGGTGCTCAGATATACTCAGCACACCAGGAAAAGGTGTGGAAGGAAGCATGTAGATGGTTGCTTCTGAGCTTGTGAACCTTGAGTTTGTTACTCATCTCCTCTACCTCTTCCTTACCCTCCCTGATCTGCTCCACCATTTCTGCTTCTCCTCACTCCTGCCAGCAGATTGCAGCTCACCCCTTCCATCTACATCCTCCCCCTGCCCCAGGCTCCCTCCCAAGCAGCTACTTTAACCCATGCCCCTCTAACCCATTCACCCCTGGATGTTCCCCCTGCAAGACTCACACTCCTGCTTCTCTTTTACTTTCTTGTTTATTACCTTCTTATTTATACCCTATTTGCCAGGAGACCAAGTTCTCCACGCCTTCTGACCCTCCCTGTCCTGCTTGTGATTCTCAGGAGCTTTTGGAAACGTGAAGCTCGGGACAAAGGGCAATTTCAGGGCAGTGCCTGCACCAGGACATTGCTTTCCTGACAGGCATGTGTGCGTATTTTGCACCTGGTGATACATTTTAAGGCAGGGAGGTTTTTTTCTGTGACACAGGGGCTCTACACCAGGCACTGCACAACAACAGCGTCACCAATGAAACTGCTACCATTCCTAGGTAGGTGAAATCTCCTTCCCTGGGGAGCAAGTGGCAGGTGGGAAAGGAGTGGGGTCCAGCAAGGAGACCTATGGGGACAGTGATGGGAGCTGGAGAGAAATGAGTGGGTTGGAGATGGTGGAAAGCTGCTGGGTGTGTGGGACTGAAAATCTCTACAGCTTCAATCAGTGCTTGCTACCAGATTCTGTAATTGCATGGCTACTATCATCTCAAACCAAAGCCCACAAATGCCAGTCTTTATCTCACTGTGGGTTTTGTTCAGTAAAAAAGCGGAAATATTGTGGTTTTCTGTGAATTTGTTTTGTTGTTTTTTTCTCTCTCTCTCTCCATCTGCTTGGGAGATTTTTACTTTTCAAATGTTACAAACAGTAAAATTACAACAGAATCCCCCAGGTTTCTGTTTTCATCTCTGTGAGATGGTCTATCCTCTCAAAAACAGAGGGAAAAGATGAAACTTGGTGACACCTAAACGGATTTGTATTATATATAATTCCTAAAAAAATGATGTGTAATTTTTAGTCTGATTTTTCATAGAATTTTAATTTGTTCAAGAAAACAACACCTCAGTGAGATTTTCTAAAGCAAAGAAACCTGTAATTGCAACACTAGGCTAACAAATATCCAGAATAATATTTGGGTAGGGAAAAGCAGAGCTGCAGGGGAAGATAACATCCAAAAGGGGCTTTGTGTTCTGCAACTTTCATTTTGTCCTACTAACAATTCATAAAGCATAAAGTGAAAAAACTCACTTTCCCTTCTGAGTTAAGTGTAATACTAACCTGTTACAGGGTGTGTATTCAGTGAGCCATTTGTTTTCTCAAAGGGAGAGATTCTTTTTTTGTGCTTTAAATATTTTGGAGAATTTTTGAAAGCACCAATGCCATAATGCAGTCAAATATTGTGACATGTCATTTTAATCTCTCAGACAGTTAAAATGACATGCATGTGTTAGCTACACAAGTATAGAAGTACTTATAAAAATAAAAAATCTGGTCAGGGGAACCCTCTTTGGTATTTTTCACTTGATATGTGTAGGGCAGTTTGGATTACACTTAATACATAATTCAGAGTGCAAATAAATGTCTGTGCTTTTTTGGAAAGTACTAGAGAGCTTTGAAAACCTTTCAAAGGTTTTCCCCAGATCACTGAGCAACTTCTACATTATTTACCAATTTTATACTGGCTGAGCACATGCACAATTTCTTTTAATCCACAGTGTCTGCTGTTTCTAGCCTCTGGGTAGTTTTACCAAAGAAGTTCCTCTAGACAGTGGCCCTTACCCCATCCTGCAGTACAGCTGATTCTGTGTTGATGTTAAGTTTACTTTTATGGGTACCTTTTGCCCATATACAATTCTAGAGCTCAGAGTGAAGTTTTAAGAAAAAGAAAATATCTGATTTTCCTTTGTTCCAGTTCTGATTTCCAGTCTGCTGGACTATGGCTGCACTTCTGCAAGCTGCAATGTGACATGCCACAAAGATGCCAGGTGTGAAGTTCAGGGTGGGACAACAGGCTGCTATTGCTCTCAAGGATATACAGGAAACGGCATAACGTTTTGTTACGGTAAATAGATTTTATCTTTATGCATTTCTGTTACGTGCTTGCTTGAAAAACTTGCTCAGAAGCCCATTAGCTCAAGGATTGAATGTTATGTCACATCTTACATGAACATGTTCTCAAAGCCAAAAACGTAAGCAGTTTCTGAAAAATTCCACAAACTTCCCCACGACCTAGTATTTTGATATAGCATACCATGCATCCCAGCTGAGTATGACCTGTTTTCCAGTTTCAGTTTTGGTCCCTTCATTTTCTATGTGAGATGATGCTGTATATTCTCTGATTTAGCTTTAGCAATTTCCCTTGTGACTGAGGACTTCTGAAGCTTTTTACTCTGCAGCCCTCACATCTCATCTACACACACAGAGCACCAGGCCACTCTTCCCAGCAGCTGATCATGATCAAATAATACAGCTCCTGGACTAGTCTAGAAAACTGAGGAGGTATCTGTGCCACAGAGACACATCTGTAAGTGAAGCCAATGCTTATTTTTCCTTTACAGTTGCCTGCAAGGGAAATATGCCAGAAATATATATAGGGGTCTCCCTCTGGGTACCAATATCTTTCTTCCAAAGTAAAGGATCTTTTCCCTGCCTTCGTTTTTGAGTTGTCCTCCACTATGAATAGCTATAATGCTCATTTTCACTGTCAGATATAGCTATGCTCAGCTGCAGGCAGGTTGAAATTCATATGAATCATGTCAGTTTTCATTGTTCTGAGGAGTACTTGTGAATATTAACCATCCATTTGGTCAGTTTCTGTGTTTCATGCATTTTGGGATATTTAGCAGTAAGAACAGAGGTAAGTTGCCCACCCTTAGTTTGGATTTTTATAACTCATTTGCCATGGAAACATAGACAGTGCTTGAAGTGTGCTTTTTTTTTAGGAACATTTAGAATGCGAAGACCTTTTTCCCAAAAAAGCTGTCTACCCTTTTTCAAGCTGGGATGTTTAGAGAGGGATATAGATTGCTTAATATTGCATACAGTAAGGAATCACAGAAACTGTAGAATAGTTTAGTTTAGGAAGAGACCTCTGGAGGTCATCTGGTCCAGCTCCCCACTTGGAGCAGATCCACCTTAGAGAAAGGGCCTTGTCTAGCTAAGTTTTTAGTATCTCCAAGAGTGAAGACTGCCCACTCTCTGGGCCTCTGCTGAAGTGTTTGATTACCATAACATTGTAAATTTTTTTCTGTTATCTAGTTGCAGTTTCTAATGTTGCAGCTTGTAACTTCTGCCTCTGGTGGGCACTTGCCACTGTACGTTTCTGATAATAGTTTAGTTTCATCTCCTCTATAAACCCCTGTACCCCCCCATGAGGTACCCATAAACAGCAGTATCATTTCTCCTTTGCCTACTCTTCCTAAGCCTGAACAAACATTCTCAACCTCTTCTTTGGATCATGTGTCATGTAGTCACTAAACTTGTTTCTTGAATTCAATACTAACCTTGCTCTAAATATAGGTCAATCATTATTTGTCTATTAAGCTGGTCAAATGAAAATAAGAATAGATGGCCTTCACCAAACTAGTATTGTATTTGCACTAATTCAGTTTTACTACCATGAGTAAGCTGCTTGATTTAGAAGTTAAGTGCACATTATGTTTGCAGAGTCAAGGGTCTGCACTTGTGAATAATGCAGAGGAAGAAGAAAACCAAGTGGATTTTTAACAATATTATCTGGAACAAATCAAACCAGCAGTTATTTCTCTACTATGATCTGGTATCCACTACATTGTCTATACTTTTCTAGAAACCTGTGATTATGAATCATCAATTAAATTTACAGTGAAGATGCTTGTTTTTCTTTACTGACATTACCAATGTTCTTAAATCCATCCATTATAGATGTAACCATTATGGCATTATTAAATCTATCTCTGTGAGAATGGATTTATTTTACCTTCCATGTTCATTTTTCTCATACAGTATCTTTTTCTTACTTTTGCCTGCCTTTCCATAGGGAAATCTACGTTCAGAAGTTCAGTAACACATTTATAGATTGTCTAAAGAAAATTCAGTACAATTAAATATACACCCACAAATCTTGTGCATCAATTAATTGTTTTGTAAGAATTACACTAAGTGTTTTGAAACTCAATCTTTAAAGTAAAATTTGCAACCTCAGTCCAAGCAAGCCAGCTACTAGATGTCTTTGTGGTGCTTTGCAATTAAGTGGCCTGACAGGAAACCAGTGTTTTCTCTGGTGAAATACCTCAACAGCCACCAAAGTCACTTACCCTCCAGCTAAGCAGCAAAGCTTGTATCAGAACTATGTGGCTGTTGCCCCTCAAAGAGAGACAACGTTTCTCTAGGGCAGCATGTTACACGGTGCATTATTAATGTGGTGCAGTAGTCCTCTAATAGCATAAACAAGTAACCTGAATTTTAATTGGGTAGGCTCTAAAATGATTAGAAATATAGGCCAGACCCTATCATAAATAGTTTAAAGCTACAAAAAGGTAAAGGAAAGCCTCAGTGGTTCAGTGATGTATTAGATCTTCCTGTTCTGTGTGGCAAAAGAGGCAGGTGTATGTGCTGTTCTGGAGGAGCTACCCATTTTTCTTCAGTTACTAATCTGAGATTTTTACAGTGATAGTGTAGTCACCTTCAAAGGAGATAATAAATTATTTGTTAATACAGGCATTTTCTAAAGGATATATATAGTGTGTTGTGTTTACATATTTGCCCTTTTAGTTAGATAGGTTGTGAGTGTTGTAATTACTGTCAACAACATTAATAATTTTGCATAGCGTAGAACCAGCTTCTTCATTGTGTTTATCCTGGTAGACAATTAAACCAGAAAAGTGGTTGTTTTGAGGGTATGTTCTGTAACAAGCAATTCAAATTCTGATTGCTTTTAAAAATTTTGAACAACAAAAATTTCTATTTATCAGGTTAGTCCTCTTAAGCTTGTATAGCTGGAAACAGTCCCTTTTTATTCATAGGTATGTTCTCACTGTATTTAAAAGGTTTAAATTTGTTTCTCTACTTTCACTTGCTTGTAACATCTCTTTAATAGTTGTGAAAGTTGTTTCTTCACTAGTTCTGTGTTTTCAATGTGATAGACATTGTCCCTTGAGTTTACTGTGCTGCAAAGGCAATGATGTTCTGTTATATTTCTTTCCTAGCACTGTTATTGATGAATCATGAATCACTGATGTCAGCATACCTTAGGAATGGGGTTTGTTAGTTTTTCCTTTGCTCCCTTTGCCAGCTGGCTAAATGACTGCAGAGAGCTCAAGATTATTGGATTTGCTGTGTATAGATAAAGACATATAGATATGAATTTAATTTCCTGGTGTCAAAGTCATGGCTTTTAAAATAATTATCCTCTTACAATCTTTCCCACAAGGTTTCAACCACTTTAAATTAGGTCATGTTTTGGACTTTTCCAAATGCTCGTCCAACAAAAAGCTAATCCTCTTCATAATCTCGTTGTCTTCGGTAAGAATATGTTCAGGAATGCACACAGTCAGGAGAATAACTGGTTGTAGGATCTGGCTGCTTTTATATCTTGAAATTATATCTTGAAATTATAACTTACATAGTAATAAATTCCTTTGGTGCAGTTTCTTCCAGAAAGCCATAAATGAGTCACCTTGTCAAGCTTTACACCTCTGAGGTACAAATTACTATCCCATTCTTCTTATTTCTTATTTTGTATTTATATTCCTTGCTTTATTTAGTATAAGATGGGAGAGAACAGCCTCTGAAAATAAAACTTAGCCTTTTAGGATGCCATTCTTGAGCAGATGTGTATTCTGAATGTAATGCATGAGGCTTTAGCTTCACATTATCACACACCTAATTGAAGCAGCACAGCTAGAGCTCTTGGCAGGAAAATAAAAATATTTCCAGATAAGACTGATTTATAGACAAGTTAACTTCCTCTTGTGCAAAAATGCCATGGATTTTTTACAGATAAATAGCATAATTTTGCCACTTTTGTAAATCCATTTCTTTCTATAGAAAGATTTGGCCATATAAATTAGGTGTTGCTCATAATTTGAGGTTTCTTCCAAAAGAAAATTAAAGGAAACAAACAAAATTTCCGATCCTTCATAGAAGCCAGTATTTTCCTTTTAAAATAGAAGTAAAAATGAGTTGGCATCATTGATGCTTTCCTAAGCAGCTCTGCTGTTTCAGTACTGGCTTCTTCTTGATTGCTGACTGCCAATTTGCTGCTTTGCTGGCACACTGCAGGAAATTAAAGTAAACAGTGTGATCACAGTGTTTACTTTAACTTAGTAAAATACGGAAGGAAAATGAAGCAGTGCTGTTTGTTCCAGGAGGGTAGACAGGCAAGCAGGAAAAGTCTGAACACAATATCCCTCACAGATATCCCTACATGATATTCCCTTGTAAATGTCACTTGCAAATGATACTAAAAATATTAATACATTTTACTTGTAAAATAGTTACAGTTCTTCCAGAAACTGAGGAGGGACTTGGGCTATCAGGGAAACTTCATACTGAAGCAAGGCACTGCCTCTTTCTGAAGTGTAGTTTACAAATATTTATCATCTTCCAGCAGCAAAAAATGCATCAGTGCAAAGTGGTATTTTATATCAAAATACAGTATCCCTGCTAGAACAGGGCAATTTCTGTAAATTCAGCTGAATCAAACTGAAAGCCTACTCAGTATCTGAACACAAACATATTTTCTGGTTTTACGCAGGGTCATACAACCAACTGTCTGGCTTTTGCCAGCTGTAAAAAGGAGCTTTCCTGTGAAACATCAGCTCGTTGCTCTAAGGTGATGTTGCTGTGTCTCACCATCAATTTTTATTGTAGTCACTGAATTTGTTTTGGTTCACTGGTGTCACCACTGTCATTCTGCAGTACCCGATCAGTGTTTAGTTTTGAGAGAATTTTTATCTTTCAAATTAACTTCACCCTGTAAAACTACTGTGTATAATAATTTCTTTCTATCCAGAAGTGTCCTTCAATAGAAGATGATCTAATCCAAATGTTGGTTCACCAGATGAGGATTTTCTTTTTTTT